TTGCTCTAGTGACTCAAACCATGTAGAGCCCAGTTTGTAGTTGGGTGCCAGGAAAATCAGACTGGAGTTAGCGCTTGTGCAGGGCACTTGAAGTGGAGCTGGGAGGTCATGGTTAATCATACCTCACCTAGGTGCATGCTTGAACCTTAGAACTAGGCTGCAGACATCTTGCCTTCCTACCTTCCACTCCCCTGCACAGAATGTCTCTCTCTCTCTCTCTCTCTCTCTCTCTCTCTCTCTCTCTCTCTCTCTCTCTCTCACACACACACACACACACACACACACACACACACACACACACTGGCCATACCAGTTTCTCGAAACAGTTCACCCCCGCCTTTGTGCTAACGCTCCTTTCTCCTAGACCAGTTGTTTTCTTCTGCCAGTTCAGGCCATAATGCTTAGTAAGTCACCCATTTGAAGTTAAATAAATACAATATTTTGTAGATATTGGAATACATCTTGATTTTGTGTTTTCTCATACTGCCATCCTAATTAGCTCCAAATGAATTTAATTTTCTCCATTTGTAAGTAGGCTGATTTTGCTTGTAGTCAACAATCAGAATGTCAAGTTCTTAGACTTGAGACTAGGTGTGAAGTGGGATCACTCCTGGAGCTGGACCCTGTGTGCACGTGGAAAGCATCAGGATTGAGCCAGATTCGAGGACACTAGATGTTGTCCACTGCAGAGTAGACTGTGCTACTCGTGGGGAGAAAATCCTATACGTTTAATATCACAGAATTCTGTCATTTTCGTTGCTAGGGCAAAAAAGTATGAAAAGCTCATTGTTTTTAACCACAGAATCAAAAATGTGTAGGATTTTTCTGTCTGCCTGCAGGGGATCTGTTTAGTTCCTGGTCCCTCATTGCCTTTGAGAGGGCTTAGGACTTCTTGGAAAACTCAAGAGAAGCCCAAACTCTTTATGATTTATGATTTATGACTGGAGAGGGGACATATCCCACACCATTTAATAAAGAATGTCATTTGCAATTGTTTAGAGTAACCTCCCTAAGGGGATCTTAAGCTTGTTTGGAGGCTCCACCATTAATCAGCATGGCCTTTCATTTACTTAAACAACCTTCGGGTTTAGAAATTCTGTAGAAATAATAGAAGTGTGTAAGTCACAAAAGGAGGAATAGTAAAGTCAAAACTCCCTTTTGTACTGTTGCTTCATATTTTATGCCAGTTTCCTTCTGATCTCAAAATCTTCCAAATCGCTTTTCCATTCCATCACAGCTCATTTTTGGCTTTCTGAACTTGTCTACACGTGCATGCATGAGAGCCTAGAACCCGCGAAGTCTGTGGTAGGGTTCCACTGTGTTCCTTTCTGCTACTGTGATAATGGACAGAAGAGCTGGTTTCAGAGGGCAGGAAGAAAGGCTATGGAAACACACACCTGTAATTCTGACCCAAGTCAGACAGACGTAAGGACACTGAAAGAGTTGAGAGACAATCTGGAAGATCACGGAAATACAACGGCTTGGACAGGCAATAAAATAAAACAACAGAGTCTAGGCATTTGCGGCACCAATTAGTAGCAGAACCGAGTTGAAAATGGCACTCAAAACCACTCACAATCAAAAGTCTATCAAAGTGATCTCAAACATTGTTCAATAGTTAATTCAATTGACCAATACATTATGAATGGCGAACACTCTATAGGGAGGAGAACACCACAGATGGCTAATTATCACTGTTCCAGGGAGCCCAATACCCCCAATCTTTGCTCAAACATCAATTGTAGGGAGGGAATTCTGCCTGTCAACTCTCGTCCCAGGCTTTGGATTTCCTGTCCCTTCTGCCTGGGAATGGCCCTCCCACTTCCAGCCTCTCCTCTGACTTAGGGAAGCTGGCCAGCTTACTGATAAGGAATGATATACAACTCCATGTCATGATACTGTGAAATACATAGCTAGCCTTTCTGGCCAAAATCATAAACCCCTTGGAATCTCGGAAATGATAGTGTGTTAAGAAGTTGACTGAGGTCTGGCAGTTTCTGAATAGCTTCAGGATGTGTCTGATGGGTTAGTTGATCAATCTTATCTATATAACGAAGCCTCCATAGAAACTCAAAAGCACTGAGTTCAGAGTTTCTGGATAGCTGAACATATATATTCAAGAAGCTGGGGGTGGGGTGGAGTGGGTGTTTCCTCACACATGCCCCTTCCTCTTTACCTCATCCTATGCATCTCTTCATATATAACCATTTATGAACCACTCCAGCAAATTAGTTCGAATCTGAAGAGAGTATGGGAAAGCTGATTGTTAGCTAGAGACAAGCATGCGGGGACTGCATTGGGCTGCATTTGGCACCAGAGGCAGTCCTCAGCTTGTCGGTTCTGAGGCCCATCTTCAGGGGGGAGCAAGGACCAGAACTAAGGTAGATTAGAACCCTAGCTGGCATTCACTGCAGAGCTGCTGCTGCTGCTGCTGCTGCTGCCGCCGCCAAAGTGCGCAGGGATGCACAACCCCGCAGTGCAGTGCCAGGGATGAGCTATGTAGTCATGGTACAGGAGGAGAAACTGGGTCTGAGTTAGTTTTTGCTACTTTCATGTACAGCAAAGATTCCAGAACTTAAACCTGAAAACACAGGGGTTGAGGTGAAGAAAAGGAAAAAGGAAAAGTGAAATGTGGAACACAAGAGCCTTCTGCAGCTCTCCTGTAACAGCCCAGTGGGAGTTCCAAGGCATTCTAAACCGCCCCCTGGGCTTGGTCCTCTCTGTGGCAGGTTCACACTTGAGAATCCCAGTGGGGAATTCCAGGCTTGTCCACAGGGATGACAGTCCTTGGCTTCTAGGACCTGGGAGATGCTTCCTCTGGGATGAATTATGAGCCCTGCCACTCCCGTGAGAACATCCAGATGGGAACTTGTCTTGTCTGTAGGCATGTCCTTATTTTTCCCTGATCCATGTCAAGAGTTCCATTCACAGCCAGCCTCAAGTGCAGCCAGCCACTCTTTCTCTCCCCGTGTAAACAAAATACAGTGATCAAAATATTAGGCCACTTAAAACAGCCGTGGAAAGCAATGGCTTTGGAGGGTGAGCCATACTTCTTTTTCCCCCCAGCTACATTGTTTTAAGTCTTCTCTGCCATTTGGGAGAGGGATAAGCATAGGGCCTCACATAAGCTAGGGAAATTTTCTTCCACTGAGCTGCATCCCCGATTCCCGTCACTGTCTTTCACCAGAGAAGTTTAACTTGCTACACTAATATAAAACAGGTGAAGTTTGTGTGTTACCATGAATAATTTTTCAGTTTGAGATTTTCTCACATTCGTTTTGTATTCTGAAGTAACATTGGATCCTGAGGTAAATATTTTTGTTGGCAATAATTTTTAAGTCAAAATGTATAATAGAAGCTGTCACATCATTGCACCCTCCGTCCTGTCATGACCCCCCCCACACACACTCTCTTCTGGAGGGTTCTCAGATAAGTAGGCTTGGGCTAGACGCACACATCAGCTTCCCGTGCCTTCCCGTCCCTTCCCTCTGCTGCGTTCCCCACCTGCTTCACTTGGTTTGTCCACGAGCACCATTCTCCCCCATCTGCCCGAAACGTGCAGGGAAGGGCAGGCACACCCAGCTTCCTGCATCTGCACAGCCTCAGCTCCCTGGTGGGTAGTGTGGGAAGATATGTTCTTAGTGGAAGCTGTGGACTGACTAAATATACATTTATGCCCTAACTGTAAAGACCGGTATGGTTCATCTGTGATTTTAGCACTTGGGAGACTGAGGAAGGAAGATTTCTGCAAAGTCTAGGTCTCTGCCTGAACTATAGAGTGAGATCCAAGTAGCCTAAGCTATACAGTGAGGCTATTGAGAGAGAGAGAGAGAGAGAAAAGAGAGAGAGAGGCAGCAAAGAAAGAAACTAAGAAATTCCCCTATGTTTTCTTAAAATTGAACTCTACACTACTTATGGTGCTATGTGCCTATGACTCTAGGGCTGAGGATGAGGAGGAGTTCAAGGCTACAAGAGACACCTTGCTTCAGACAAAAGGGGAGAAAACAAGATGGAGGGAGGGGAGAAGCAAGGAAGGAAGTAAAGAAGGTGGACAGGAGGGAGAGAGTCGAGTCAAGGAAGGGGAGGAGGAAGGGAGGGAGGAAGGGGAGACGAAGAGAAGGAAAGAGGGAGGAAAGGAAGTGTTGAAAAGAGGCCGTGGCTGTAGTGGGAACTCCAGAGCTTTCCAAGCCATTCCCATGCTTCTTCCTCTCAGCAAGTTCAGGGCAGCCCAGGGAGACCGGCCCTTTGCTCCAGCCTCTGCCCTGCTCCCTGTCTACGGGCTTCAGCTGAGACACCACGTGGCTTCTCTCTTCCTCACACCGCGTTTCCTGCTAGCACCTTGCATACGCTCCCCAAAAGCCCCCTACACCTCCTGTCCCCCAGGCTATCTTCCTTTCCTTCTCATTCATACATCTCTGTAGGTGCCTCGTGCTCCTCCGTCCTGACTTTTCCTACCTTCTTCCTAGGCATCTTAGCAGCAGGAACGACCAGAGTCGGCGCCCTTCTAGCTGACCCAGGAAGAATGCAAGCCAGTACCATCCATGGCAGCTTACTGAAATTCTCATGCCAATCTCTAGGGGTTAGCTTAAAAGTGGGAAGAAAGGGGCATTCCAGAATGTTCAGTTGACTAAGGACGGCCATGTTAGTTAAACTCCTGAAGACCCAGAGCTGTTGACAGACGCATAGGTCGTCCCTCTTCCTGGCAGGTGAGGCTGCAGCCCAGATCTTTGGACTGTTGGGTCAGTTTATTTCCAAAACACATCACACAATTAGCAAGGAGCACATAGGCTGATTTCCTTGCTAGCCTGGTTTTGTTATTGAAGTCTCAACCAAGGCACATAGAGTTAGCCGGCTACCTCCTTCCCAGGGAAGAATCCCAGGAATCTACAGGTGTCCACCCTCTGCTGTGCTTAACTCAGCCTTCCCAACAGGAGCTTGCCCAGCAGCAAGAGTGGTGAAGATCAGGAAAGGGCAGGGCGGCCAGGGCGGGCACGGCTTACCTGCGCTTCGGGAGGCTCTGGGAGCCTGGCGAGTCCCTGTTACCGGCAGGAAAGGCTGTGGCTTGAACTCAGCGAGACGCACCGCCCTGCGTCCCCGGGGCCGCCCCTGGGTCCCAGGCGGGGACAAAGCCAGCGCCAGCAGCAGCAATGCGGGCAGCCGGGCGCTGGGCTTAGCGGGCCACATGGCTTTGGCATCCAGAGCGAGCACTGGGATTTGGAGGCGCGTGGCGAGGTCTATGCGCTCCCGGGCGCGGGGCGGGGACCGGAGGTGGGGCGGCGCTGGGGACCAGGGAAACCCGGGACGAGGGCGGATCAGGGGACAGGTCCCTCGGAAGCACAAGGCACCTTCCTGGGGATCCTTTCTTTGTCTCTAGGGTTTGGGGCACAGCTATGGTTCTCCCGTGTTCCTCACGCCCTACATTGTGAGCGTCTGGGTCACCGCCTCCTCTGACCGCAGGTTCGAAAGAACCCACAACTTCTAGTACTGGACATGGAAATCGGGGTGGGATTTCTGATGGCAGAGGGAAAATGAGGAGCTCTTTGACCAGGAGCCCTGCTCTGCCCCAGGGCTGACTAGGTGAGCACAGGCGCTGTCCCTGCTCAGGTGCCAGAGAATCCATTTGTCCAGAGGCCCTGAGGAGCCAGAGCTGGGGTGCCCTCAGGAGGTCTAAGGGTTGGCACTCGGGGGCAACATAAGCCAGGAGTCCCAGACCAGGGCACACCCAGGTCCCTCTGGCTAGGCGACCGGAGCCTGACATGGCTGGGATTAAGTTATGAAACATTTACCATAATGTTCTGGCAGTGTTAACGTTCGTTTAAAATGATAGCATTTCTGATGGGTCACTACTATGTCAGTTACGGTTTGAGCCATTTCGTCTGCGTGTCTTATTGTATTAAGTAAACATGTCGGCATGCCCACGGCTTGATTGCTTCTTATAACTAAGGGCAATAGAAGGCTTTGTGGTTCCTTAGTCATTGACTGACTCAAAATTTCTCTTCAAAGACACCTTATCTGTCTCAAACTGAAAAAATACTCTCGATTTACTCATACAGTTGGACCTAAGCATTTTATTTTCAAACATTAGGAGTAAATGGGGGTCAAAGCACAAAGCACTTTTCTAAGAGCTTTAGAAAGAAAGTTGCGCCTTTGACGAGAAATCTTTCAAGAAAGCTGTTGCACAAAGACTCGAGATGCTTGAGGAAGCACAAGACCCATGTTTCCTAAGCAGACATCACAGAGTGTAAGAATGGCTTCTATTGCCCAGGCAGCCTAAAGAGACCTTAGCAGAAGAAACAAACTTTCTCACATCTCAACTCAAGTGAAACAATGAAACATTGCCAGAATTTCACATTTAAATTTAATTAGAAATATCGGAAGTTAGGTATTACTCTGGAAAATAAGGCAGGGAGAGAGAGAGAGAGAGAGAGAGAGAGAGAGAGAGAAGGGGGTGGAGCTCCAGAGTGTGATATAACGCTAGAGAAAATAGAGAAGTGACAGACGTGATCCTCAAGTCGCTGCAAGTGAAGAAAGCTGATGGCTTTTTTTTTTTCTCTTCTCTGTGACAAAAGCAAGGGAAGGCAGCAAACCAAGAGACCTCACAAACCATGACCGTTGGTGGGGCTTGTTGCTCAAGTATGGGCAGTGTGAGGCGGAACAAGCCCCCATGGTTTCTCTCAGACTGAACTTAGTGGTCTTCTATACCGCAAGTGAAAGAGGGCAGAGTCCAAAGCTCCACAAGGTGGCGCGGGGCTGTGGTATCCGGCTGGAGGCTGAGAAGGCAGGAGGAGTCCTTGATCTTGGGGGTTTGGACCAGCCTGGGCAACACGGTCAAAACCCATTAGGTTTGAAGCTATTTTAATTCTGTTCTGGAGGGACCCATGGATCTGTATTTCAGGGTAGGCAGGGTAGTTTTAAAGCAAACAGGCTTTCATTTTGACATAAATTACTTACAGGTAAGCCATAGGCCAGGCACAGAAGGAACCATTTGAGTAAATTAGATGAAAATCCTTGTCTCTTTGAAGCACTAGCTTCATGGATTTAGCTGCCCAGAATAATGGTTTTTGTCATGACCAAGCAGATTGCCCTTACTGAAGTAGCTCTCTGCTTTATTCCAGTGGGTACTACTTGCTACCCATGCCTGTTTGTTCAGTTGCTGCTTGAAGTTTTGCTGTAGATACAATCTCACAACAGTTGCTAGCTTTCCCATGTGTGGTATTTCTCATATAAAGACTGGGATGTCTGTTTAGGAACAGACACTTAGCAACTGTGGTGGTTTGAACCAGAATGGCCCCAATAGGCTCATATGATTGACTGTTTGTTCTCCAGGTAGTGAACTCTTTGGTGAAGATTAGGAGATGTGGCCTTGTTGGAGGAAGTGTGTCTGTCACTGGAGATTGAGTAGAAGTTTCAAAAGCCCACACCAGGTCCTCTCTCTCTCTCTCTCTCTCTCTCTCTCTCTCTCTCTCTCTCTCTCTCTCTCTCTCTCTCTCTCTCTCTCTCTCTCTCTCTCTCTCTCTCTCTCTCTCTCTCTCTCTCTCTCCCTCTCTGCCTGCAACTTGTGGATCATGTGAGCTCTCCAGCACTGTGCCTGCCTGCTTCTGCTGTGCTCATGAACACTTAAAACATTTAAAACTGTCAGACAGCTCCAATTAAACGCTTCCCTTTAAAAGTTGCCTTGGTCGTGGCAAATCCTCACAGTAACAGAACAGTAACCAAGACAATAACTCATGTTTTAGTAATTCTATCTGCATGTTTGGTAGGCAGTGTCTCTCTCTGTCCTTTGGGATAGACTGCAGCTCAATGGGTAGCCTAGGGTAGCCTTGAAGTCATGGAAATACTCCCATATCAGCCTCCTGTGCTTTAGAACTATAGAAATAGTGCTTGCAGGAAATAATTCATACTGTGAAGTGTACATTTCAAAATATGTTTTTAAAGTCCTAATGCACAAGGTTTCTTCTTTTGTACAACAGCCTCACACTAAGTAATCAGGGTCAGCTTTGAATTTGTAATTCCCCTGCTTCAAATCCTTAGTGATAGGATTGCTAGTGAATACCACAAAATCAAGCCATTTTTTTTTCTTTTAAATTATCTACTAAATAAAACAAGTTGCATTCCTCTACATTCTTAGCACCAGTGGTCTGCGGGCTGGGACCTGGTTGGAACAACATGACAAGACACAACAAAGAGCCAAATCACTGGTAAACGCCAGGCCAGCTATGGTGCCTCCCTTGGAAAATGCAGAAAGAAATCCGTGAATTCAGTCAACATAGTAAGTGCATTTGTTCTCTGTATGGTAAAATCAAGATGCCAAAGACAGGCTGTGACTGCTTCCGGGAAACAGAAGTTAGTGGTGCCTGAAGCTCTTCACTGTTGTGGTCAAGGGTTCATCAGAAGATTGATAAGGAAGACAAGCAGAATCCTGTGTAACAACTAAAACCCACCCGATAAAGCACTGCACACACCTTATTCACCATTGCAAATTATGGTCACAAATTTAATACACTGAATTTGACAGGCCAAAACCAAAAATTTAAAAGAAAAAAATAGAGGGAAAAATCCATCCCTTGGTATTTCCCGTTTTTCTCTCCTGGGCTAAAGATCAAACCTAGGGCCTTCTATATGTTAGACAAATGATCTATCTATAAACTACGTACACAGCCCCACTCAAAAGTAATATTGAATGTTAACGTTAATATTTTTAATATTACAGTTTCTTATTGAAAAGTTCATACATGTATCCAATGTAAGATAGTCATACCCACTCCCCATCTCCCTTCTCCAACTTCTCTGAAATCCCCAAAAGCCCAAGAACACACCAAATCCAAGTAGTGATGGCTGCGTGGCCTTCCACTGGACTATGAGAAATCTATCAAGGGCTGGGGTCTTTCCTTCCCTGGTAGCCATCCACTGCCAATAGTGCTTCCAGGGATTTGGGCTAGATTGATCTTGTACACATCATGTGCAGACTGCTGTGAGTTCATGATTGAGTTAATCACGTGAGGTCCAAAAGTGTGCATTTCACAGAACTCCTCTCCTTCACCTGGCTCTTACTCCTCTTCTGAGATGTGCCCTGAGTTGTTGTGGTGACAATGGGGAGTGGCTTCCTTGAGAATGACATCTTATTTAGAACCAAGCACTCAGCCTCTTTTTTTTTCTCAGTAAATGCAGCAGTATGCCTCTCAGCATTGACTCCTACAACTACAGAAGTTTCTCGGAGTAAGGTTGAGAACAGCCTAGGTCTATGGATATAAACGTGGTTATTAAAAAGCAATTTGGCAACTAGACCATTCAGCAAAATAGGAATAGGAGTTTCTACATTATGACCTGTGACATCCTGGGACAGCCCTAAAATTTTGATTAGGATCATAGTACTAGACATGAAATGACCTCCTGTGGAGAAGGGCTCAGACCCAATCAGAGTATGGCTAATTGCTCTGTAATTGCTGTATCACTATTGCACCTGTGGGCACTTCTTCCCTGGTAGGTTGGTTTGAAGCCTTCAGGAGCAGGTAACAGTTAAGACTATTGATATCTCTTCTCCCCAGCAGCCTGTAGAGCATCTTCTGGCACTCTGAAAGAAAGCCAGTTATGCTGGTTGGTTTGTCAACAGGATGCAAGCTAGAGTCATTAGAGAAGATGCAAGTCAACTGAGGAATTGCCTCCATCAGACTGACTTGTAGGCAAGTGATTTTCCTGATTCATGATGGATGTGGGAGGGCCCAGTCCACTGTGGGTAGTTCCACCCCTGGGCAAATGGTCATGGGTTGAAAAGGGAAGATAGCTGAACATGCCTGTGAGTTGTGTTCCTCCATGGCTTCTGCTTCAGTACCTGCCTCAAGGTTCCTGTGTTGGCTTTCCTCAACAGTACCTGACTCAAGAGGTGTGAGCCAAATAAACCTGTTCTTCCCCAAGCTGCTTTTGATATGATCTTTATCACAGCAGGAGAAAGCAAACTAGGAAAACAGTTTCTTGGTCTAACTAATATTTAAAAAAAAATGTGATCATCTTTGTGTATCTTCCAAGGTCAGTCTCCTGAGCAAGATAAACGAGGGTCCTGTTTCAGGCCAGCTAGCGGTATGGATCTGAAGTTATCTGTTACTATTTCAGACCTTCTTGATTTCATTAAAAGTCTGTGGAACAGGCCAGTTTAGAAAAAAAAAAGTTAGAACTTCCAAGAAGATAAA